GTACCAAACTATTATCTTAAAATTTCATTTCTTCAGGCTGCTGAAGGTGCTAGAATTGCTGGGGCATCAAGAATTATTGGAATCGACAGGAACCCAAGTAGATTTGACGAAGGTAGATTTATAATTTTCATATTATCTTTTATGCGAAAAATTGTTTAAAGTAAAAACTAACTCCTAATCAACTGTCTTGTTTTAATGTTAGCCAAGAAATTTGGAGTTACAGAGTTTGTCAATCCTAAGGAACATAACAGACCAGTTCAACAGGTAACTTGTCTCCCTCCAGACATTCATTGGCGCATATGTGTCATAACTTCTAATCTGCTTTGAAACGTTATTCATGAACCTGACAGGTCATTGCAGAGATGACGAATGGAGGTGTTGACAGGAGTGTGGAGTGTACGGGTAACATTAATGCCATGGTTTCTGCTTTTGAATGCGTCCATGATGTAAGTTTGTTGATTCCTATGATCAAAAGAATTTATGAATATGTCGGATTTTTGTAAAGTGCTCTCTATGGATTTGTCTAGTGCTTATGGTTTTTTGTTCTTGTGTACCACATAGGGATGGGGTGTTGCTGTACTTGTTGGCGTGCCCAACAAAGACGCAGTCTTCATGACCAAGCCTATTAATCTATTGAACGAGAGGACACTTAAAGGAACTTTCTTCGGGAATTACAAACCTCGGACTGATCTCCCATCAATCGTTGATATGTACATGAACAAGGTTTGCTTATATATACGTTTTACATCTTAAGTTCTTTCCATCCATAAGTTCTATGAAATGCTCATAGTTAATAGCTTTACAATTTCACTTATTGTATTCATACAGAAACTAGAGTTGGATAAGTTCATAACTCATCATCTCTCGTTCTCTGAAATCAACAAGGCCTTTGAGTACATGGTGAAAGGAGAGGGCCTGCGATGCATAATCAGCATGGAAGACTAATGATTTTTCTTCATGCATAGAGGACATGTTTGGAATGTTGTATTGAATAGAACTACACGATATAATGAATAAATGTAACTTTCTTTTTCTTTTGCAATACTTTTGACTACTGTCCAATCTATCTTGTGAAATGCGCCAAGAAGGAATTATGTATGAAGTTGACCCCTTTTTATCTACATGAATGTTTATTAAAATTCAGCTCGATCGCGTGCTTTCTCTAACAAGAGCTATTTGGTCATGAGCCAGCGCAGCTTAACCTATCTGTGTAGACGCGCCACCCACGAGACACGACCAATCCTGAATTTACACTTCTACGACAACCGTTACCATTGATGAACATATTATAATGGTCGCCAAAATCTGTTAATTAACCCAAGGAGAAAAATGAGAAATACATGAAAAAGTTGCTCATTTGTCTAGCAAAAGTCTAAAAATCTCAAATCATTTTATAAAATTTTACTGATTGTTCACGTTATATGAATTCCAAAGTGAAGATAATCCCTAAAATTAACAATTTACTATTTGGTGCAAAACTCATATTTTTCCAAAGGATGACATGAAAAAGTTGTTCTTATTTGTACTTGTCCATAATTCTTCTTGCTGCTTCTAAACTGTCTACAACAGAAGTAGTTCCTTCACCACCATCCGCTTTTGGCCCTTCATCCTTGTTGAAGGCTATGAATATGAAATAACTTAGTCCCATTACAACCTGCCCCATCAATTACAAAAACTGATCTTGATTTAGTTGTAACCAAAAGGGGAGCACAGGAAAATTAATGTATGCATCTCCTCTATCCATAAACGATAGAGTAAAACATACCAGAAGAAAGAACGATCATACTACATGTACAGATATTTTTGTCAAATAGTTTGACAAATTGTCAATTGGCACAATTTCATTGGATATTGAATAAAAAATAACTTCAAACCAATTAATCCAGTGTTGTCAGCTCATTATTTATAAATCCTTGTACATTTCATAGGTATAAGGGGATTAATTCGACAAAGAATGCTATAGATAGGAATGACTCCAGTACAAAGAGTGAAAATGTTATAGCAATTATAGTTACGGAAATCCGCACAATCGGTCTTCGAATAGCATCCTTAAAAAGGCAAAACGTAGATATAGTGCTTATCTCTGAAAATAGAAAAGTATCGTACTTTCTTCGATTATAAAAAGACTCGCCAATAAGCAAAGGACACTTAAAGGCATCAAGCTTGTTCCTGCTTCAATTCCATCGTTTCCGACGTTCCACATTGTTTGAAGAACTATTGAAAAACTTGTGAACATAAAGTTTCATGAGTGAAAAGCAATTACAAATAATGCAATATTGTAAATTTTACGTAAGAAATTGAAGACCGGTCAAATAGAGGCTGTGGATATGATGTTGAAAAATACAGTACTACCTCTCTATAGTCATAATGTTGAGACCAAACAACCTTAGATATGTATTTTATTTTATCTTTAATGTAACAAAGCATATATATATATATATATATATATATATATATAAATTTTTTTATTTTTTATTTTTATTATTATTTTTTTTTTACACTATATGGAGGAATGTTCCTTGAGACAGGGCTAGAAAAATTATAAGTTATTATAATGTGAAGTTTTATTTTATTTTTAATGACGGGGAACCGGCATTTGCTACCTTTTGGGTACGCGCTGGGTAAACTTTCGAATTGACACAATAGTCTGCAAACCACGCCAGCCAAGTAAAATTATAATGTGAAGTTTATTCCTATTTATAATTGGCCCAAGTCCAGTCCATAATTTTTTATGACTAAATGGAAATTATTCCTATGGATTAATTTATTTGTACCAAATAGTTTACCTAATATTTTACCGAATTGACAAGTACCCACAGCCGTCTCTCCAATAGGGGGCCGTCACTTGTCAATTCGATAAACCATTAGATAAATCCTTATGTTTTTGTAGCATAACCCTTATTCCTATAGGGTATCACTATAGAAAGCTCTTACTGTAGATGGATCTTTCTACTATTTTAAAGTTTGTACTGTACATCATAACCGAACCCCAAAAATTCATTACTAGTTACCGGGAATAGATTATTTGGTAGAGTGCATAATAAGACTTGGCATATTTTCGTTGTCCTATTATATATTCCATAACAGTCACAGATTTACTTTCCTTCCCTGAAACAACTTTCACTATACAAAATTGTATTAGTCACTAGCCAAGTTGTAAATTCATGCTCAAGTAATACGTTGTAATTGCAGGTTTCTGGAGAGTATCAAGCACAAAGAATCCCAATAGCTTCTGATATATGATGAAAAAAAGTTGCAAAATGATGGAAAGTGCCTCAACTAAATTGCCAGATTGGTGTTCAGTTAAATGATTTTCCTTTTTGCTGCTTCATCATCTCAGAAAATACGAATATGATTTTATTTCATCCGATTGCAGAGATTTTCTCGGCAGTTTCCATCGAATTTTCTTACTAACCAACCCAAATAACATAATCCCGTAAACTGGTTAGCTCAAAAATCCCAACAGCCAAGTAGAGCTCCAATGTGATTTCAACATACAAGAGATAAATTCACTGAGCCTTTCACGTGCTAACCA